TACACTACACGTTGATATAAGCTCACATCAGACACTCTCGACAGACAATAGAGGAAGTATACAAAGATACATATTTCAACAATAAGTCACTTCTAATGAAGAGATTAATAAACACAAGTTTCTTTCTGTTCCAACATCTTTTTAACCATAAATAACAACAGGTTTAGCAGTTGATGCTTGCCATTGCTACGATGTTGTGAATATCTGTTGTAACAAAGCAGTTAAACTTAGGTGGAGGTTATTTTATGTTGGTGTACATCAACAAAAAATAATAAAACTACCTTTGATAACGCTCGAGAGAAGGCTCCAGGAAAAAAAATTGACCAATTATGTAGAAAATATACAACTGTTTTATGATTTCGTTTTAATGGATGATGATATATATAGAACTTGTGTCTGTTTAAGATGAAATGAAAAACAACAGATAACTCTTCATAAAGTAAATGGTTTGAGCCAGGAGTATCCTTACATGTTTGTAAATGTAGAACGTCCAGATTTGTATAATCCTAAGAAGGACTGTTTTGTTGTTGTTGAATGACGTTTGACAACCTTAGTGGTAGTCATCTTTACAGTCAAATGAGGAGTAAACGTCAGGTTAGCCGTATTCGTTATCTGGTTCTTACGTCAATGCATTGTGTCTTTGCAGCCGTGGTTAAACCAGAGTTGTTGACATACGCGTCTGACGTTGCTTGCAAAACATATGTAGTCGTTAGCAAGTTGTTCGCTCTGTCATCCAAATAATCGTAATAAAGTAAATGGTTTGAAATCGAGAGTATCGTTACATGTTTGTAAATGTAGATCGTCCATTGTTGGCATAGTACAATCACACTAATTCACAATGACAATATACTGTCTACATTCCATTTATATCAGACTTTTCCGACTTGGAAGGTATTTCCTGGAAAGCTTCCTCATAATTTGTAATTATATTATTTTTGAAAAATAATCCATTGAAATGGAAAACCTTTTGAAGAATTTGAATATCAGTTATATGTAAAGAATTATAATTTACTAGGAACACAAGTCAAATTTGAAAGATTTATGTAAAATACTAAATAGCGGGATGGCTATAGATGACTTTTTCAGTAAAGGAAAAACATCTAACAATAACTACAGCCTAACCAGCTGAAAAGAGACCTGCAGACCTTCACTAAATGATATTGTTTGTTTTCCATTAAAAAAATTGCAAATATCTAGAAACAATTTATGTGTTTTTTTAAAGTGGACCATCCATATTTAATTCTGCTTGTTTAACATTTGCCACAGTTACGCGATATACACCTTGAAGACTGTGAACAAGTTACGGATGTCACTATTCAAGAACTGACAAAAAACTGTGGAAAGCTAAGTGAACTTTTCTACGGGGCTGACCAAACTATTGACATTGCCATTTAGAAATAATGGCGACAAAAACACCATATCCACCGGTCTCAAACCATACAGAACATACAAACTCATCCTCTTCAACAAACAAGGATTCGAGGTCGAACATGATGGTGTACCAAATGTTATATTGCTCATGTTGAGACCATTTCCATCTTTCTTCCCAATCGTTTGTGCGCAAAGTTAGAAATCTTGGTCCACAGAGTGGCATAGCTACTCTGTGTTTTTTTCTGATGTTTTTTCTGTCCTTGGATTTATCTTAAACGGTATTGTTAATCAATTTCGCATAGTTGAAACCATGATGTCTAATTTTGTTATCTCTGTCTTCCGCTTTTAGGAATAAACTTTGCAATATGCATAAGATCGGCTTGTAGTTCAAAACTTTTCCAATTTTCTTTGCTCAAACATTTTGCATTTTAGGCATTGGAACAGTTTAGTATTTCAAACTTGTTCTTTAAAGCCATCGCTTTTTTGCAGGAAGAAAAGAACCCGCAAGAGTTGGGTTAATTTTGCATTAATACTTTCTTCTCCTTTTAGACAAGAAAACACAGAAAACCAAGAACATAGACTTAGTGGATAACCATATTATAACAGCTGTATTAGTAAAGACAGTGGGTCAAAACTCTTTTTTTCTAGAGAGTATATGTGAATATTTGTATATATTCAAATTCTATTTAACTGTAAATTCAAATCACGCAAAACGATCGCACGTAGTGCTCTGTGCAATATTTCTTACACTGAAGCTCGGTAGATAGAACTTTTATTTTCTCGGCACGAGGAAAAGAAATCTACAAACGACTCTTATGCCGATCATCAGAGACTGAAACAGTTTATCCCAGTTTTTGAAACTTAGTAGGTCACCTCTTAATTAAAAAATCAAACGTTTATAACTTCTTCACGTTCCATTTGCAGCTACAGATCTGTTCATTTGTTTCAGCATGTGGCTTAATCTAATTGGTTTCTGAGTCATTCTAAAACTGCCATTTACCACTTCGACGAGTGCCCCGTGGTACTAATATTACTACACATTTATTAAATTAAAATAATGGATGAAATGAGAAAAATGGAAAAAATATGGCTGAAATAAATCAAAGTTTAGTTTGAACGTTGTCAGTATCAGGAAATAAGTTATGAGATGACGAATTAAAAGAAACAAAGCTTTTCAACAAAAATACTTAAGAGTGAACAAAGAAACAAAAAGTCATGGTTTATCAATATAATATTGGCATATGAAAGAAACTATAAATCCAAAATTTTTCAAAAACTGAAGAAGTACTGAACACACCTAAGATGGATATTATGATTTAAAGGTATCCCAGCTAATGCTCGAATGAAAAATGGATTGAGGTAAGAACAAGGGAAGGAACTCTACTATGCTTCGTCGTTTATTTTAACGATAAGTTCTTTGATGTCAGATAGGATATAATGCAATAGAGAAATTAAAATTTAAATCAGATTTCTGACTTGGATGGTACTTCCTGGAAAGCTTCTATAATTTGTAATTAAATTATTTTTGATATAAAACAATAACTGAAATCGGAAGACTTCGTTTTGTTGAATTTAAATATCAGTTAAAATTAAAAGAATTATAATTTACTAGGAACACAACTCATGCCTGACGAATTCACAAGAATACACTACACGTTGATATATAAGCTCTAACATCAGATCACTCTCGACAAAGACAATAGAGGAAGTATACAAAGATACATATTTCAACAATAAGTCACTTCTAATGAAGAGATTAATAAACACAAGTTTCTTGTTCCAACATCTTTTTAACCATAAATAAATAGGCCAGTTGATGTTGCTGCTACGATGTTGTGAATATCTGTTGTAACAAAGCAGTTAAACTTAGGTGGAGGTTATTTTATGTTGTGCACAAAAAAATAATAAAAAATGCTACCTTTGATAACGCTCGAGAAGGCTCCAGGCGCAAAAAATTGACCAATTATGAAAATATACAACTGTTTTATGATTTCGTTTTTTAATGATGATATATATAGAACTTGTGGCCTGTCAGATGAAATGAAAAAAAAACAACAGATAACTTCATAAAGTAAATGGTTTGAGCCAGGAGTATCCTTACATGTTGTGTAAATGTAGAACGTCCAGATGGTATAATCCTAAGAAGGACTGTTTTGTTGTTGTTGAATGACGTTTTGACAACCTTAGTGGAAGTCATCTTTACAGTCAAATGAGGAGTAAACGTCAGGTTAGCCGTATTCGTTATCTGGTTCTTACGTCAATGCATTGTGTCTTTGCACGTGGTTAAACCGAGTTGTTGATTACGCCGTCTGACGTTGCTTGCAAAACATATGTAGTCAAAAGTTAGCAAGTTGTTCGCTCTGTCAACCATAATCGTAATAAAGTAAATGGTTGAAATCGAGAGTATCGTTACATGTTTGTAAATAGATCGTCCATTGTTGGCATAGTACAATCACACTAATTCACAATGACAATATACTCATTCCATTTATATCGGTTTTCCGACTTGAAGGTATTTCCTAAGCTTCCCTATAATTTGTAATTATATTATTTTTGAAAAAAATAATCCATTGAAATGAAAACTTTTAAGAATTTGAATATCAGTTATATGTAAAGAATTATAATTTACTAGGAACACAAGTCAAATTTGGAGATTTAAATACTAAATAGCGGGATGGCTATAGATGACTTTTCAGTAAAGGAAAACATCTAATAACTACAGCCTAACCAGCTGAAAAGACACCTGCAGACCTTCACTAAAATGATATTGTTTGTTTTCCATTAAAAAAATTGCAAATATCTAGAAACAATTATGTGTTTTTTAAAAAATCCATATTTAATCTATTTGTTAACATTTGCCACAGTTACGCTGACCTACACCTTGAAGACTGTGAACAAGTTACGGATGTCACTATTCAAGAACTGACAAAAAACTGTGGAAAGCTAAGAACTTTTCTACGGGCTGACCAACTATTGACATTGCCATTTAGAAATAATGGCAACAAAACACTATATCCACCGGTTTGAACCATACAGAATTATACAAACTCATCCTCTTCAACAAACAAGGATTCGGGAGGTCGAACATGATGGTGTACCAAATGTTATATTGCTCATGTTGAGACCATTTCCAATCTTTTCTTCTCCAACGTTTGTGCAGTTAGAAATCTTGTCCACAGAGTGGGCATAGCTTAACTCTGTGTTTTTCTTGGATGTTTTTTTTTTTTTTTTTCTGTCATTGGATTTATCTTAAAACGTATTGTTAATCAATCCGCATAGTTGCAACCATGATGTCTAATTTTGTTATCTCTGTCTTCCGCTTTTAGAATAAACTTTGCAATATGCATAAGATCGGCTTGTAGTTCAAAACTTTTCCAATTTCCTTTGCTCAAACATTTAAAAGATGAAGGCATTTTGAAACAGTTTTAGTATTTCAAATTTGTTCTTTAAAAGCCATCGTTGTGTCTTTTGCAGAAAAAAAAAGAACCCAGAGTTAAGACTTTGTACCATTACTTTTCTCCTTAGACAAGAAAACACAGAAACCAAGAATGAAATAGACTTAGTGATAAACCATATTATAACAGCTGTATTAGTAAAAGATAGTGGTCAAAACTCTTTTTTTTTCTAGAGCAGAGTATATGTGAATATATTTGTATATATTCAAATTTGTTTAACTCGTAAATTCAAATCACGCAAAAACGATCGCACGTAGTGCTCAGCAATATTTCCTTACACTGAAGCTCGGTAGATAGAACTTTTATTTCTCGGCACGAGGAAAAGAAACTACAAACGACTCTTATGCTGATCATTCAGAGACCTGAAACAGTTTATCCCAGAGTTTTTGAAACTTAGTAGGTCAAATTCTCTTAATTAAAAATCAAACGTTTATAACTTTCACGTTCCATCGCAGCTACAGATCTGTTGATTTGTTTCCAGCATGTGGGTTAATCCTAATTGGTTTCTGCAGTCATTCTAAAATCTGACATATTACCACTTCGACGAGTGCCCTGTGGTACTAATATTACTGACAATTAAAGTAAAAAAAAAAAAAATAAATGGATGAAATGAGAAAATGGAAAAAAAATATGGCTGGAAATAAATCAAAAGTTTAGTTTGAACGTTGTCAGTATCAGGTTAAGTTATGAGATGACGGAACAAAAATAACAAAGCTTTTTCAACAAACACTTCTACAGTGAACAAGCAAAACAAAGTCATGATGTATCAATATAATATTAAGATAAGTGGAAAAGAACTATAAATCCAAAATTGTTCTGAAGAAGTGTCACTAAGATGTGATATTATGATTTCTAAAGGTATCCCAGCTAATGCTCGGAATGAAAAAGATTGAGGCAACATAGAAACTCTACTATGCTTCGTCAAGCCATTTTAACATAAGTTCTTTGATGAGGTTGTGGATATAACAATAGAGAAATGCACTTAACCAGATTTCTCTGACTTTGGATGGTACTTCCTGAAAGCTTCCTATAATTTTGTTTGTAATTAAATTATTTTTGATATAAACAATAACTGAAATCGAAGACTTGGGTTTTGTTGGAATTTAAATACAGCTAAAATTAGAATTATAATTACTAGGAACACAAATTCATGCCTTGACGAATTCACAAGAATACACTCCACACGTTGATATAAGCTCTAACATCAGATCACTCTCGACAAAGACAATAGAGGAAGTATACAAAGATACATATTTCAACAACAACAATAAGTCACTGAATAGAGATTTAATGTTCACAAGTTTCTTTCTGTTCCAACATCTTTTTTTAACCATAAATAACAACAGGTTTAGCAGTTGATGTCACAAGCACGATGTTGCAATTCTGTAACAAAGCAGTTAAACTTAGGTGGAGTTATTTTATGTTGGTGTACATCAACAAAAAAAATAATAAAATGCTACCTTTGATAACGCTCGAGAGAAGGCTCCAGGCGCAAAAAAATTACCAACATGTAGAAAATATACAACTGATGATTTTAATGATGATGATATATATAGAACTTGTGTCTTTAAGATGAAATGAAAAAAACAACAGATAACTCATAAAGTAAATGGTTGAGTTGGAGTATCCTTACATGTTTGTAAATGTGGAAACTCCATTGGTATAATCCTAAGAAGGACTGTTTTTGTTGTTGTTGAATGACGTTTTGACAACCTTAGTGGTACATCTTTACAGTCAAATGAGTAAACGTCAGGTTAGCCTATTCTATCTGGTTCTTACGTCAATGCATTGTGTCTTTGCAGCCGTGGTTAAATCCAGAGTTGTTATTATACGCCTGACGTTGCTTGCAAAACATATGTAGTCGTTAGCAAGTTGTTCGCTCTGTCATCCAATAATCGTAATAGTAAATGGTTTGAAATCGAGTATCGTTACATGTTTGTAAATGTAGATCGTCCATTGTTGGCATAGTACAATCACACTAATTCACAATGACAATATACTGTCTTTTACATTCCATATCAGACTTTCCGACTTGGAAGGTATTTCCTGGAAAGCTTCCTCATAATTTGTAATTATATTATTTTGAAAAATAATCCATTGAAATGGAAAACTTCCTTTGGAAGAATTTGAATATCAGTTATATGTAAAGAATTATAATTTACTAGGAACACAAGTCAAATTTGAAAGATTTATGTAAAAATACTAAATAGCGGGATGGCTATAGATGACTTTCAGTAAAGGAAAACATCTAACAATAACTACAACCAGCTGAAAAGAGACCTGCAGACCTTCACTAAATGATATTGTTTGTTTTCCATTAAAAATTGCAAAATCAGAAACAATTTAGGTTTTTAAAGTGGACCATCCATTTAATTCTGTTTGTTTAACATTTGCCACAGTTACGCGATATACACCTTGAAGACTGTGAACAAGTTATGGACACTATTCAAGAACTGACAAAAAACTGTGGAAAGCTAAGTGAACTTTTCTACGGGCTGACCAACTATTGACATTGCCATTTAGAAATAATGGGACAAAACACCATATCCACCGGTCTCAAACCATACAGAACATACAAACTCATCCTCTTCAACAAACAAGGATTCGGAGGTCGAATATGGTGTACCAAACTATATTGCTCATGTTGAGACCATTTCAATCTTTCTTCTCCAATCGTTTGTGCGCAAAGTTAGAAATCTTGGTCCACAGAGGGCATAATAATCTCTGTGTTTTCTTGATGTTTTTTTCTCTGTCCTTGGATTTATCTTAAACGGTATTGTTAATCAATTTCTGCATAGTTGCAACCATGATGTCTAATTTTGTTATCTCTGTCTTCCGCTTTGGAATAAACTTTGGCAATATGCATAAGATCGGCTTGTGGAGTTCAAACTTTTCCAATTTCCCTTTGCTCAAACATTTGGTGCATTAGCTGCATTTGAAAAGTTTAGTATTTCAAACTTGTTCTTTAAAAGCCATCGTTGTGTTTTTGCAGAAAAAAAGAACCAGCAAGAGTTGGGTTAATTTCTGCATTAATACTTTCTTTCCTTTTAGACAAGAAACACAGAAAACCAAGAACAATAGACTTAGTGGATAACCATATTATAACAGCTGTATTAGTAAAAGACAGGGTCAAAACTCTTTTCTAGAGCAGAGTATATGTGAATATTTGTATATATTCAAATTTGCTTAACTCGTAAATTCAAATCACGCAAAAACGATCGCACGTAGTGCTCTGTGCAATATTTCTTACACTGAAGCTCGGTAGATAGAACTTTGTTTTTCTCGGCACGAGGAAAAGAAATCTACAAACGACTCTTATGCCGATCATTCAGAGACTGAAACAGTTTATCCCAGAGTTTTTTGAAACTTAGTATACCTCTTAATAAAACGTTTTATAACTTTCACGTTCCATTTGCATTACCAGATCTGTTCATTTGTTTACGTGGGTTAATCTTAACTGGTTTCTATCATTCTAAAACTGCCATTTACCACTCGACGAGCCCTGGTACTTACTGATTACGAGCAATAAAAAAAATAATGGGATGAAACGGAGTAGAAAATGGAAAAAATATGGCTGAAATAAATCGAAAGCCAGCTTTGAACGTTGTCAGTATCAGGAAAGGTTATGAGACATGAATTAAAAAAGAAACAAAAAGCTTTTCAACAAAAATAATTTCTACAGTGAACAAAGAAACAAAAGTCATGATGTATCAATATAATATTGGAAAAGATAAGTGGAAAAGAACAATAAATCCAAAATTTTTCAAAAAAACTGAAGAAGTACTGAACACACTAAGATGACATTATGATTTCTAAAGGTACCCAGCCAATGCTCGAAATGAAAAAATGGATTGAGGTAAGAACAAGAAGTGAAACTCTACTATGCTTGTCGTTTATTTTAACGATAAGTTCTTTTGGATGTCAGAGGTTGTGGATATAATGCAATAGAGAAATTGCACTTAAATCAAATTTCTGACTTGGATGGTACTTCCTGGAAAGCTTCCCATTTGTAATTAAATTATTTTTGATATAAACAATAACTGAAATCAAAGACTTCGTTTTGTTGGAATTTAAATATCAGTTAAAAATTAAAGAATTATAATTTACTAGGAACACAACTCATGCCTGACAAATTCACAAGAATACACTACACGTTGATATAAGCTCTAACATCAGATCACTCGACAAAGACAATAGAGGAAGTATACAAAGATACATATTTCAACAATAAGTCACTTCAATGAAGAGATTAATAAACACAGTTTCTTTTCTGTTCCAACATCTTTTTAACCACAAATAACAACAGGTTTAGCAGTTGATGTTGCCATTGCTACGATGTTGTGAATATCTGTTGTAACAAAGCAGTTAAACTTAGGTGGATATTTTATGTTGGTACACATCAACAAAAAACAAAATGCTACCTTGATAACGTCGAGAGAAGGCTCCAGGCGCAAAAAAAATTGACCAATTATGTGGAAAATATAAACTGTTTTATGATTTCGTTTAATGGATGATGATATATATAGAATTTGTGTCTGCTTAAGATGAAATGAAAA